ATAAGTGAAAAATGCACTGGCATATCTTCGAGGAAATCTGAAAAACAAGGTTCTAATTGGATTAAACTAATTTATTCTTCAATGTATGTAATGATTTAGTCTGCAAATAAATATTGTCACCCGAAAAGCAGTGACACATGAATTCTTCTTGGCTAATTATCTGACAAAGAGGCAACATGTAAAACATCCAAATTTAAGGTCCCACCCCAGAACTTTGTAGAACAACACAGGATTTAAAACGTCTTACATTAACTTATTGGCTCCTGGTAGCCATAAAAGAAGCCCAGACAATGAAGGGAAAAGCCAGTAGTGCCTATGTCATTTGTTCCATGTGATCCAGTTGGATCCTGTGATTATCAAAAGCTACATTTACATCCAGAAGGAGACTGACCCACAATAAGGAGCCATTAGCAAACCATTAATTTTAATAAGGATTGTTTCAGTCCTGTGGCTCTGTCTAAACTCTGACTGAAAAGGATCCAAAAGCTGATCAAACCCAAGATGAGATTGTAACTGAGTTGCCATCACCTGTTAGAGATTTGTTTGAGAAAAGGCAAATCAAAAATGGCATTGTAGTGCTTAAGTAACTGGGGCATTTTGCCATTTACGTTACATAAGTAACATCAGCAGAGTTCAGGGAGTCCTCAATAAGGTTGGTAACAAATTGATAGACATCCATGAGGCTACTTTAGAGTAGGGGAATAGGAATAGGGTCTAGCGCTCTGATGATAGGTCTCAGCTCAGTTTCATAGGCAGCAGCTGTAATAAAATGGCTTTGGTTTCATTGCATTCCTAAATTATTTTTTAACTGGTTTCCCAGTTTAAATGTAACATTGTATAATTATTCCATTATTTTAGAGTGATTTTAAGTGATAATGTAATGATGCTCATGTGCTCTGACATACAGTATTCTACTCTCAAGGATATTCAAATAATAATTATAAAACATTGATAAGTTTGTGTGTTAGGCTGTTGCCGACGAGTCACAGTTTTCCTAAGCAGGGCTGTGTAGATTACATGATTCAGCATCTTAAATGGATGGGTAAAAAGTCATCCAAAGTTGGAAATTACTGACTGGAGAGTGAACTGTATGTCCTTTGGGGGTTCATTTCAATCTCTGGCTTAATTGTTAGCCTTGTCCAAACAGTAGACTAGCAGCTAATTAACGTGAATGCTCTTGCAGCAGCCTGTGCTGAAATGGCATTTCCTTCATGTTGACCCTGGGGATAACCAACATTATTGCTAAAGACAGACTGTTAAATGGAAGACAACAATGGAAACTGCAGTCCTGAAAGGATCATATTGTGCACTCTTCATGCCAGAGGAAAAAAATGTCCTTTCACTCTTTCCTGTTAGCATTTCTCTAGGACAGAAGCTCTGCTTAGCGAACAGGCAGAGGTTGAGTTTACTCTCCACTTATTATTAGGTTCCTAAATGTTTATTTATACATCCCTTTAGGAATGGAAAGCAAGTCAGAGGCAACTGCCTTGCACAGGGCAAATGTTTATCCACAACCAATTAGTCACACTATGAAAGGACAAACATGGACATTTTTATTTGCAAGCCATTATAATATGTAAATATTTTATATTCCTTATTAGACATACCATTTTTGCTGATTTTGATAGTATTATTTTGTAAAAAAAAATATTTAAAAATCAGTCTCATGTAGATTTATTTTTGTTAACTGTAAAGGTGTGAATGTAAATATTTTAAAATAACTTTTTTTTTCAGCACAGCCTCTTCCAAAATGAAATCTTGTTCAGCACCACAAATCCTTGCTTAATTATTATATATTAACGATAAGCACAGTACTCTCCAAACATACGTTAACAATAACCTAAGTACAGACATAACAGCTTAGTTCTCAAATAAAACTGATGCAGTGCAGTGTGTTTCTTTTGCTTAAAGTCCAGCTCAGGAAAATAGCTGATTTGGATTTAAAGTAGAAGAAAATAAATTTCCCTTTCCACAACTCTGTTTTCTGTTTTTGGACTGGCACCCTTAGACTTCATTTGAAAGTATGGCCAAGCTTTAAAAATCATCTTCCCAGGTTTTGGGAGGTCACATAACTTTCAGAGACACGTTCTTTTTGGTTATCTTTAACTTTTGCATCTGTGATTTCTTGGTATGTCTTTAATGAAAAGGTTTGGCCTTAGTTGCTGAAGGGGTTTGAATAGAGCATGTTCGTCATTGCACAGGTATACCACGGGAATAAATACAGGGTCAAGGAGCACAAAAATCTAAGGAATGTCTCCTGTACTAAATTTGTGTATACATGCGTGTATGAAGGTGTGAATGGGCTGTCTGGTATTGAAGCAGGGAACCACAAATAATACACCAGAGAAACAGAATATACTGTGGTATAGTGCCACCGTTTGGGAACCCAATATTTTGCATATACATTCTACCCCTGAGAAGTAAACTGCAGAGTCTGATGAAATCTTTAGAATATCCTTCTCTATAAATACATCACTTGCCTTGCTTATCTATGAATCACAACACAAATATTAAGTGGCAGAATGTGGTATTGGCTAAACACTACAATTCGAGAGGGAATAAACTGCTGTACTATTGTTAACTACACTTATATTTTAGGATTTCTTCTAGCTTTCTCTTTTGAATGGGTAGCTCCAATGTTACAAAATACTACAGCTCATTTAATGCAGATATCTTCTCCACAAGCAGGTCTGCAATATATTCTAATTAAAACAGAACCTTTTAAATCTATTTTTTTTCATGTACTGTATTTGTAAAATAAATCTGTATTTTTTATTCTCAAACTCAACACGTCATTCTGTATTTGGTTGGTGGTTAAGTAAAGCTGGTGGGTGCCCAGTGAGCTGTGCAGTCAAGATGTTTTGAGTATATGTTCTGGCTGTCTTGTATTCATGTATTCAATTTGTATTTAATGTATTAACTTTTCCTTGCTACTACCCTCTTTAAATAGGGTTATAAGAGTGCAGTTCAACAAGTAATCACATTTCAGACCTCTGTGCACTTAAAGAACACAACAATCCCAGCAGAGCAGTTGTACTATATAGTAAAATCACTTAAATATATCACAAGTTTCTGAAGGATTTATTGCCTGAAAGAGGATGTTCGCAGTGAAATTAAAGGATTGTCACAGAATTGTATCTCATTTGTGACCGCACATTATATATATTTAATTCTCATTTGAAAGAAAATAACTGTACTTAGGTTTCTGAACCTAAAACAGAGCTGTTGTGCCACCACATAAACTGAGACTGTACTCCTTTTAAGTGTTTGATTGATAATACCACCCCTTCAATGGTCTCTTTGCTGTATGTTATATTTAAAAGTCTAGGGCATACTCAGGTATAGAAGGTGTGTTTTAATGCAGTTTGAACAGTAAATGTTGATAATAACATGGCACTAGCTAATCATTTTGCAGATGTAGTCTAGATTTAGTCTAGAAATGAGAGTAAATGCCAGGTAAATGTAATTTTAAATTGATAAGTGTTTTTCGTTTGCCACCAAGTTCAAAACTAGCCTCGCCGTTTTGATTTTAGTACATGGTACATACATCAGTACAGCACATGAACTCGATAGGAATGAGTAAGGGGAGGCCCCATTGGGTGTTCAGTTACATTTATGCTTAATAGAATGTAACCAAGCCTTCTATTATCTTGCATTTACAGGATAAACAAATTGCAAAAATGTGTCCAAATACATCTGAACATAGCCACTGCTGTGGATATAACTATATACACATAACTATAATACTTTGAAACGTTATACAGTATACAGTAGGTTCCCTACTTATTTATGAAAAATTATTTACACCATGAGATCTGAAAACACACCGACCAATCAAACGACTAAAGATGGGAGTATGGTGTGTCAGTTGAAAACCTAGGGACCAATTGAATGTTCTCATTGAGCATCTTCAGAATGTCGTAATGTGATGTGACAGGTCCTCTGCTTGGTAGACTGGAATGAAGGGTGTAGTTAGTAGGGCCCAGTTATAGGAATTCCTATTTGGCTTAATCCTTAAGAAGACCAATCGCTATAAAGAATGTTGAACACCACGCCTAAGCCTGGACCAGGCCTGGTTTAAAATCCTTCCCAACCTGACGTGGTTCATAAAAAAGTTCTTTTGTCCCATTGGATTCCCCTGTCAACTGATTTTTAAAGGATGGAAAAGCAACTAACTCTAACCTCAAACCCTGCTTTAACCTTTTTAAAACTATAATGAGAGACCCAACCTGCTCCCCCATTCTAACCTATGGAGAATATTTATCTTTTGCTTGGCCTTACTGTAAGCATTAGACTATTCTGACCTCGTGACGAGCGAATATGAAATCTAGACCTTGTTCTGAACCTTTTTATTGAGAGAATGATTGAACTCATCCGCAGTAGATCTTACTCTCTCTGCCTCGTGCAAATGCATGCACCTTATCTCTTTCTGACTGGTCTATAAGCTGCACACCCACCGCGCAAACTGTCACAGACATTTGCTCCATTACACTAGGTCCGAAGATACTTTTTTTTTAAATTGGGCTTTGCATATATATTTTAACCCAATCAATTTTCAATTGCCATTCATTTCGCATTTTAGATTACCTCTAAAACCTCGTGCCACAAAGGAATAATACCTGTACATGTGCTTGCTTCATTAGCATGCTCTTCTGTTATAGCCATTCATCGCCTGACGGACTGTGAGCTCCACAGAGCCTTACAGGAGGATAAGCATAGATCAGAGGTGTGGCATAGGTCCTGGGAGTCAGAGTTATAAATTAAACAAAGGGTGCACTGCCTGACTAATGATGTGTCCAATTGTGCATCATTGCTTTGATAATCTTGGTCACAGATGTCTATGAAGAAGCCCCCACTAAACACCTGGACAACAGGATTCAACCTGTGCTCTGACTTATTGCCTTTGTTGTAGAACTTTATTATCAGAACCCCAATAAATATGTTTGAACCGAAAAGCAAGGAAAACAAAAGATAAACCTTTTCCTTTATATCTTTTACAGCACTGGGGCAGATCATGCTGTATGTAGATGGGATGAACGGTGTAATCAGTCACAATGAATCCATCCAGTGGCTCTATACACTCATAGGATCGAAGGTAAGAGAATGTGTACAAACAAAATTATAATACACAGGCTAGGAAAACCGTTTATTAACGGTTAAGGTCATTTATACCTCCAATGGAGCCAAGATTGGTGGCAACAACCTAACATCAACCTGTTCTCATCTCAGGCAGAGTTGACCAGGTATAAGAAACAGAACTGAAACTTTCCATTCATCCACTGACTGATGAATGTACTCTTACCTGTCCTGCTGCAAAATTTCAATGACATATTTTTACACTTAGTGTAGTAAATCAGTAATATTCATATGGTGTTAAGTAGGATATTCTCTCCTGTTATGGAAAAGTATGTGAAAGGTTCAAAAGTTTCAAATATTATTGTTAGAATGTCATGTCAAACGCCAAACTGCTTAATACGGTGTTGCAGGAAGCCGGAGCCTACCCGGCAAGCAACGAGCGCAAGGCAGGGTACGCCCTGGACGGGACGCCAGTCCATCCCAGGGCAAGTGCAAGCCAATCATACATGGGGACAACTTGGAGGGCACGGTAAAGGCAGAGGGTTGAGATTTGGCCGGGACACTGGGATAACTCCCTACTCTTATTGAGAAATGCCCGGGGATCTTTAATGACCCCTGAGAGTCAGGACCTGGGTTTAACAACTCATCTGAAAGACGGCGCCCACTACAGCATAGTGTCCCCGCCACTATACCGGGGCATTAGGACCCACAAAGACTGCAGGGTGGGCGTCCCCCACTTGTCCCACTAACATCACTTCCAGCAGCAACCACAGCTTCCCAGGAGGTTTCTCATCCAGGTACTGACCAGGCTCAACCCTGCTTAGCTTCAGTGGGTAGCCAGTTGAGAGCTGCAGGGCGATAATGGCTGCTGACTGTTAGAATGGTATTCCTGTTTATACCTGAATCAATTTAGTCTATGACTTTAAATCTAATCTGAATAATCAATTCGTTGGTACCTCCTTTTGTAACATTAGACATTGCTTCTTCATGCCATATGTTTATCTTTTTCCACAGAAGTACAGTCAATCCGAACAACAGAAAAAAAGAATTTTGTCTTAACAGTGTTTAGGGTAAAGGTTAACATACCAAATCTCTAACAGAATCCAAGTAGTCACTGTCTGACCGTCAGTTTATCACACATTATTTATCTTTCAGTCTGGGACCCTTGAGAGGTCCTGCAGCTGGGAAAAGTCAGAATCAAAACGTAGACTATAGGATCAGTGGTGAGATGTTTAATCAAAATAGCATTGTATTATTTGCTTTATAGACAGTTTGTTTCCTATAATTACATATTAGTTGATTACAGAACCCTACCTCTCGCACATTTTGATACAGTACTTACAATACACCTCAACCTACCGCAGCTAGCCTTGAGAATTTTACACACACCCATACAGTAAACCTGGCAAAAGTTTAATTAGGAGTTCAAAGGAATGCAATCATTTAAGATTGGCCCTTCTACACACCTGGCAAAAGAAAAAAAATATATTGTTGTTTATGAAAACATGTTGGGGTGGTTTGAGCAGAGCTCTTGTCCCTCTCCAGGTTGGAATGCATTAAGCACACAAGAATGTGCACACTTGGATGCCTATCTTTTCTAAAATGCATGAGTGAAAGATGCTTCTGGTGATTTTTCTCTAGTTCTCGGGAAACATTTTTACACCTTTATAAATGTAAAATGCTAAGAACATCCGTCCTGTCCTTACTCATCATTCTTAAGAGGTCTAATGGGTACCCAATTAAACACTTACAGTACGCTTATACTGTACATTTATACAGTAAATACAGTTGCCAAGTATATTGGTTGTAAACACATTTTAATAACCTCAGAAGCTGATGGCCCAAATTGGCTCCTCTCACCTTTCATATGTTCTTCTTATTGTTATAATAACTGTGACAATGAACGGCACAGTGGTTAGGATTGTGAGTGTGAACATGTTTGTGTCTGTGTGTTCCCTGCGATGGACTGGTGTCCCATCTAGGGTGTATAGTGCCTTGCACCCATGCTTGCCGGGATAGGCACTGGCTCCCCCATGACCCTGTATTGGATTAAGTGATTTGAAAATGGAAGGATGATAATGATTTATTTTTCTTTTATTTATTAAGAATTGTATTTCTGTGTGATTTTCAAGAAACTAAATAGCATAACCCCATTACACATAAGAGAAGTAAAAAGAAAGATAATAAAGAAAGGAGTATTAGTCTACGTAGCACACTGAAAACTGTACACTGACAGCTTCTGTGTGGAGGTCCCATGTTTCCCCCCATGTTTGCGTGTGGTTTCTTTAATTTCCTTCTAAAGTGCAGAGTCATGCTGTCCATATTGATTTGCATTTCTATTTTTTCCCCTTTATGCAATTTTGTTAAAACACATCAAAGGAATGTGTCCTTTACTGTGATGTTCTAGTCCTGCCTTCTGCCCTGTGTCCATCCTCTGAAGTAAAGTGGATTCTAAAAATGTATGAATAGATATTGACTTAATTTTCAAAGAAATGCTGTTTTTAATCTATGTGATTATATTGAGTGATGTTTTGCAGTCATATCAAAGATAGACCTTACAGCCTAGTACTTTGCATGGCTTTTATTTTTGGGATAAGTATATTAGATTGTTATATCTCATGTCTAGTAATACAGGGGTGGTAGTTTAGGTGTTTAAGTGTCTCACTGATGTGTTTAAAAATAATTGCTTCAGGAATGTGTTTAATATACTGTAGCTTATTCCCAGAGATCCTTTGTTGTGCTTCCACATTAGTCCCAAGGGGGGCAGTGAGGGCTCTGAAGTCAGGACTTTTCACACTCTATGACAGTCCTGTTTGCCTCATTTTATTTCTTAGCACTTTTTACCAGAATGCAATTATGTATTCTCAAGTGTGGAATGAAACACTAATTCTAAAGCATTGCTTTGAATAAATAAAGACATTACCTAATCATTCAAATGTCAAATGTTAAGCATTACATATATTATGGATCATTTAATATACTGTATGTTAAATTGTAATGGAGTACAAAAAATATTTCTGAAACATTCACAAAACCTGCAGGCTGTATGTAAAGCAGTGTCTGTGCACAATACAGTTGGTCATTCTGTAAAATCACATACAGAATCTAGATGTTTTTTATTTATTTATACAGTACTAAAGTCAAACTTATTTTTATCACAAGAAGATGATATCCTACTTACCCTTTAAGAAGTAGGAAGTCATAAACTCTTTTTATCACAGACTATGCAATAAATTAAAATATGTTAGTATAGATTTAATTTTTCATTTTGTCAAGTTTAATTAGGTGATTATATTATATTCAAAAATCAGATCACCTGCTTCAGCTTCAATTAGTGCAGTTGAGTTTATACTGTATATACTTTTCCTTATATATAAGAAAAAGATAATAAAGATAATAAAAGTCATGTCATTTCCTGATGTTGGATGAGGATACTTTAGAAATTTGAAACCATTGCTTGGCTGGTTCAAAATCTTAAATGTCTGGCTTGATTCATTGCTGAAGTTGAAATGATGACTGCAATTCTCTAGGTTGACACCTTTTTGATTTCGAAGGCATGAAATATATGTAAGCATGCCGTGAAAGGAGGTTTCAGATCACAATACTGTAAGAATATTCATTTCATTCCCAAAGCTAGCTTTGAATACTTGATAGCCTCTAGTGGCCAAGTGTTGTGAAAGCATTTTGTATTTAGAGACAATATCAGTTCTCCTTCAAGCGATGCAGGTATCTTTGATATTTCTTGCAAGCCAATACTTTTCACCTCTGTCGTTATTTCCTCGTTCTCTTACCTAAACATGAACAGCTGTGTATTGAATTGTTATGAATTCTATGGAGCCTGTAGAGAGTTATTAGATACGGATCGACTTTTGTCATTCAATACAGTAACTTTTTCTGGCTTCAGCTGTTGCCAACTACATTGGATGGATGTTGTGATGCAGTATTTACTGCCCGCACTGAGATGTGTGTGCCTCCCTAGTTGAAAATAAAGGCAATGTAGATACTATTTATCTGTCCTGTTACCATGCTGGGAGCCTGGAGGGGAACACTTTGCATTCTTCTGTATCCCTGATATGTGCTACTACAAAAACCTGAAGGAAGTGTGTCATGCAACAGATAGTTTGTAGACGAGGCTTCAAAATCCTTGACAACTGACATGTCAGAGTTAAACACTGCCAAGTCCTCGCGTTCCCTTTGTGGAATAGGATCTCCTTCCGTGAGGGAATTCTTTCCATGGCCTTAATTTCCTAGACCTTCTCCAGGTAATTAAATCCTGGCCTCTTGCAGACAGTTTCCTTTCTTTTCTTTCCATTTTCACTCAAATGTTTTTCTTGAGCCGAGCATCTGAAACATTATGTCTGCCCTTTGATAAGGGCAGTGTTAGGTATTACAGTATTTTATAAATGGGTGCAGGCAATTGACCCTGTGCTTTATAAGCCCAAAACTGACTTCAGCTTTTCAGGGTAGTACAGAAAATGTGGTTGACTGAGTCTCAATTGTAATCAAGAACAGACTAATAGTTTTGAAATATACAGAGTGTAGTACAGATAACAATACAACAATATTAAAGATTATAATGCAATGGAGTATGTAAAAATATTGTCACTGTTACTCATTGAAACATGGTGTCAGTGTTAAGATAGCTTTTTTATTATTATTTCTAGAAGCAAATTTGGTGTTATTTTTACAGAAAAATGTCTTGCAGAAAATGTTTACTTGCTTTGTGTATGCTCTCCTGGTTTCAATAACTACATTATATATATATACTGTATAACCCTGATCTGCTGGCACTGACACTTTATCATGTAAATGCAACATAGTCGTTAGAAATAACAGGTTTCAAAAGTTGTCCCAAATGGAAGGTAATAAATGTGCAAAATAGAATGAAAAACCTTTGCTTTATTGATTTGTTACCTTGCCAAAATTCTTACTCTTACTTTACAAAATGTGACATGACAGTGGATTAGTCTTTGATGAGAGTACTTAGCATTTACATACAGTACTTGCAGAAGTGCGTATTAGCACTGTATCTGATATAAAGTTATTATATGCAGTTTTGATGTGTTAATTGATTTGTTGTGTGTACTGTACTTGCAAACGACGCTGCTAAAGTACTGATACTGACATTTACTATTTAAGATACAGGTTCCTAATTTTTACATCTACAACTGCAGTCATTGGGGAAAAAAAATCCTTTATTTAACAATAGTCAAGTGAGAACAAATTCTCATTTGAAATAATGGCCTGCCCAAAAAGCTGACTCCCATTTTTGCAGAGAACATAAAGCAGGGAATGAAACAAAAGAGAAAGAGTTGGGCAGAAATGATTTAATCACGAACTGAAAATACCCTCAGGTTCAAAAGCGGATAGTTTTAGCTCAGTCTGCAGATCATTTCAGACATTGGCAGCAGCAAATACAAATTACTTGGCCGTAAAATCGATACTTTGCCTTGGGAGGTCCAATTTGATAGAAGCCCTATATTTTAAGTTGTAGGATGGTACAGGTAGCAGCAATAATTTATTAAAGCAGGTGTTTTCCCATATAAAGTGCTGTACATTAGCTTAAAGCGATAAGTTAGTGATAAATCTGACAGAATACTTTAACACATTAAAAAGCTTCTAAATATTAAGTTTTTTGAGTTTTAAATAATTTTGTTAGATGCACCTTTCAAAACCCGTCCTGTCTCAGACAGCAGACAGCTCTATTCTCTGCTCAGCTTTACGCTCTGTTTATATGCCAGGCACTGACAGAACAACTGATCATCTTCCTTAGAAATTGTCTGTGCTACTATTATCTATTGTCTGCATTTTCTTCGCTCTCTGTTCTGTGGACCATAGTCATAGCAACTGCCATGCTGTTTTGCCACTGTCCTTTGTGGCAAAAATAGCATTTGAAAAGCCATTTAAATGTAAATAAACAAAAAACAGCCCCCTCAGTGTTTCAGTAGTAAAATAATCTGCAGAAAGAAAGCTAGGCACATACAGTAATAAGCTCCTTATGTGCTTCTTCCTGTCTAATTTGTAACCCTTCTAAAGAACGTGTTCTGTAATTTGTTTTTATGGGCCAAATAGGAATAAGGTTTTTTTTTTATTAGTATAGATATGTATAGGGAGCTAGGCTGCTTTAAGCTTGTGATCTGTGAGGCAAATGCAGAATACATGACAGAAAACATATGGACATATGGATTCTCAGACATGAAACGCTTGGGGTTATTTGCTTTAGCATGTGCTAAACATACACAGTTACACACTGATTTCATTGCTTTGTTCTGGCTTCTTTGCTGTGGTTAACCAGTCTTTTTATGATCATATGTTGTCTTTTTTTACTGCACATATCTCTGAAAACTAATTAAACAACAAATGTTACACATGAATCGCTTCTGTGATTCACAATGACATGCAAGAAGACACCAATGTTGAGACAAACACCAAATACTGTGCCAGACCTTTTTAGCTCTGTGACAATGCAAAAGGAAATTGAAATGAGAATCAGCAATCATTGTGAGACACAGCAGACAATTCCACAATGCACATTTTAGTGCAGTGAAGTACTGCAGTTTACATATTCCCAGATACAGTACAACTGTTACTTATGTTTTTATTCTGTGTTAGGGTATTATATTTAGTCTGCTGTTTTCTCTTGTTTTTTTTAAAAAAAGAATGAAACTTCAAAGTTTATGGAGAGGTACAGTATTTAATATAGAAGACAATGTTGCTGGAATAATAAAGTGCTCCCGTGGAGAAGAAAGGTTTCTACAGTGGTGCCTGTCAGAACCTAAAGCTGAATTTTTTCTGACCTGTTGTGATTTTAATGTGAACTGTGATCTTTTTCATGTAGAGAATTCAACTTGTAAACAAACCATTAACTGTGTTGAGGATATAACCTTAAACATTGCAGGTTTAAAGCCTATTTTTTCATATTGTTAGTGTGATCCTAGCTGCAAATCTTGAATAATGCCTGTGATAATATGAGGCAATACAAAGTATGAGTTGTACAAAGTTAACATCTCTAGAGGTCTTTTGAGATTGGTGTCTGTCTTCAGTCAATAACTAAAGTTTTTATTAATCTTGACCTTATTAAGTCAATAAGTCAAATTAAGTAACAGAGTGATTGTAAAATGTAAGAGGGGTCACAAACTACAGGAGACCATTTGGCTCATCTTGCTTGTTTGTTTGCTGACAGCTTAATTTTGGACAAATAATGGAATGCTATTTACCTCTCCAGGATCAGTGTCAGTTCCAGCACAGTTCCAGCACCTTAAGCTAAGTTTTCTCTAAGGTTTCCCCTTTAAATGATCTTACATTTAAGGGTGTTTCAAACATGGCAATTTAAAGTAACGATTCTTTATTATGCAAGGTAATTATATAGGTCCCCGTTATAAATTATACAGGTCCCTGTTATAAGCTGCCTCAATATTTGCATGTACAATATGCAGTCACAATACTGTGAGTCTCAGTATGAAAGTAGATTCCCATTAACAAACACATCACATCTATTTATAAGGTAAGCATAATTACATACTTGTCTTATCTATTTCTATTTTTTGCTTTTTATGGATTTATGTGCAGTACAGAGCTGCACAGTGGTGCAGAGGTTATCATCGCTTCCTCACAGTGCTTTGATCCTGGGTTCAATTCCAGACGTAGGGTGCTGTCTTTGTGGAGTTTGTATGTTCTTGTCATGTTTGTGTGGACTTCCACTGGGTGCTCCTGTTTCCTCCCACAGTCCACAAGTAGGTTAATTTGCTTCTGGTAGAATTGGCCCACACTTACTGTACCGTATGAGTGTGTGGGTGTCTGTGAGTCTGTCCTGCAGTGGCTTGTGTCCCATCCAGGGTGTATTCAGATTTGTTCCCATTGCTTGAGTCTCCCAGAACTCTCACGTGGAAGAATCAGTTAGAAAATCATTTTGGATGGATGGAGGTACAATATATTTATATGCACTTGTCTGAACTGAATATGTCAGGAATGTTTTGTAAGCTAACTACATTATTCCTTATGGATATAATTTCCCCTTTACAGCATATTGTCGTCTCACTTTAAATTTAATTATTTAGGAATATAATCTGGATTTATAACCCCCTGTATTACTTACACTATTTTGTGCAATGAGGGTGAGGGCAAGCAGCCACTAGGTTATGTTTTATATTTAAACATGTTAACTGCAAGAAATTAACAACACAGACTTTTCAGGGGTACTTATGGCACCTGTCTGTATAGAAATAAGGCTATAAGGAGAGTTATAGTTCCTATCAGAGCTTCAGCCACATTTAAAAATTAAAAAACAAACATTTGACTTGAGCACCAGACAGCACTGATACCATTCCAGGTTTTCTACACTGCTATTGTTTATCTAATTATAATTCTCTGTCATGGCCTGATCTTTGGCTGCCCTCTAGTAAGGGCAATACTAGAGAGCCCTCTGGTGGTGACCAGTCGGTCATTGTTCTCTGCCTATACTGTAATAACCCATCTCCTAGGGTGTAGTGGTGGTCTTTAAATTATTTCCACAGCCATGACCCTGAGTGTTTTATTAGTATTTCAAGATGTGATAAGGATGCAGTATACTGTAAAAGAGTTTCCCCAGCTAACCTTATCATTTACATGAATCCATGCACAATAGCTACAAGCCACATTAATCATTTGCAGGCTTATTGTGTGCACAAAGGACATACTAAAGAAAAGGCTGTACTTTTATCAAGGCTAGATATGTTATTTTCTTATTATTTATGCATTGAAAATGCTTGGCCTAGCTGTAAGATGTGCATTACCAAAGAAAACTGTCTTGTGAGCAATGTTGCTGAATTACATTTAGAAATGTAATTCACAAGATATTGCAGATGTTTAAGTTTAAAATCTGTAGACAGGGAAAGAGCAATACAATATTTTTTCACTGAAATGTAGCTTCTGACTTCTGTTGTATTTTCTATAGGGATCAAAACATGGGTTCAAATTCTGGACTAGAACAAAAGTTTTTAAAATAATTCTGTAAGTTTTAACTACGACTTAATTCTGACAGCAAAGAATATTCTGTTAGGTCAGAATTTGAAACAAAAGAAACAAGTCAGTCCATAACTTCAGAAACTAAGGGAAAACCTAAACATTAGTTATACGGTAGCTGTGTTTCACAGATCTGGTAGTGATGAAGCTGGTTGCATTTAAAGGATGGTGAAAGAATGTCTGAAAAAAAACAACAGCCACTTTTTTTGCATTTCCTCAGAATGTCATTGTTTAATTAACAGAATGATCCAACAGTCAAGGAAGTCCAAAACGCAATGAAAGATGTTTGTTGATATCTGAAGTCGAAATAAAGTGGTTCTCTTTCTTTTCTCTGCAGTTCCGACTGGTAGTGAAGACTGCCCTGAAGCTGCTGCTGGTGTTTGTAGAGTATACAGAGTCCAACGCACAGCTTCTCATTGAGGCTGTGAGTGCTGTAGACACCAAACGAGGTAGGTCCTGAAAAGCGCACACCGGAGACATCGAGCTAAATGACCCAATTATGAATGTATTTTTTAAATGAATGAACGTAGGGTTAATTTTTATTTCACAAAGAAAAATAGGTAAAAGTTTTTAAAGGTGCAAATGTACTAACAATATGCACTTCTTTAAGGAAAAGTATTTTCCTGAAAGTTGTTCTATGTGTGTGAGTCATATAACCTGACTCTTATTCAGATGAAGGGGATTATATTTTTCAGTTTCTCTAAATGATCAGAATTCAGTAATTCAATAATTAAAAGAATTGTTGTATCAAGTGGTGGGGTTTTATTTAAGGACTTTTGGTGTCACTTTCTTTAGTGGTATAACAGCTATAAGCAGCTATTATGGCACTGTAAGACATCCACCCAGTCCACAAATATGTAAAGGGAGCATAATTAATTGTGTGTAATACGGCATAATTCTAAATGATCTTTCTCAAACTAAAATTAAAGCTGAATGGTATTTATTCAAATTCAGTTGCACACAGTATATATAGTGAATATAGTGGCTGTATATAGTGGCTTCAATATATAAACATACATATAATAATAATAATTGCTTACACTTATATAGCTTTTCTGTACACTCCACTCAAAGCGCTTTACAGGTAATGGGGACTCCCCTCCACCACCACCAGTGTGCAGCCCCACCTGGATGATGCGACGGCAGCCATAGTGCGCCAGAACACTCACCAGTGGGGAGGAGAGCAGAGTAATGTAGCAAATTCATAGAGGGGGATTATTAGGAGGCATGGGAAATTTGGCCAGAACGCCGGGGTTACACCCCTACTCTTTTCGAGAAACGAGCTGGGATTTTTAATGACCACAGAGAGTCAGGACCTCGGTTTTACGTCTCATCCAAAGGACGACGCCTGTTTACAGTATAGTGTCCCCATCACTATACTGGGGCATTAGGACTCACATGGACCGCAGGGTGAGCACCCCCTGCTGGCCCCACTAACCTCTTCCAGCAGCAACCCTAGTTTTTCCCAGGAGGTCTCCCATCCAGGTACTGACCAGGCTCACACCTGCTTAGCTTCAGTGGGTTACCAGTTGTGAGTTGCAGGGTGATATGGCTGCTGGCGATACTACTTAGTATATATACTAAGTCCTGAAATATTTATTTAAAAAAACTCACATGATGGGCTTCGATTTTTTCATTCTATCACATTCTTACTTTGTGCCCTTTTTTGAATGTCATTATTGTATCGACAGGGGTTGAGTTTACTTTGTTGACTTGAATGTGTTTTGTAAAAAGGAACAACAACTTGATGGTTCAGCAAATACAGACAGCTTACTGTAGCACAGCCATGACCCACATTCTAAATGTGTCCTTCCAGTTAAAATGCTATGGTTTCTGCATAGTTTTATTATTTTTTCTTATGTCTAATAGCTTCATAATTAGTCTGTCGCCCTTCTGCTGACCAAGGATAGTGTTTTGATTTAGTGTTCAGAAGCATTAAATTGAAAAAAGCCTGAGTCTTTTAACAGTGTGGAAGATGTTTTTGTAGGAAAAAGTAATAACTTACCAGTGAGCCTGTATTTTCTCTTTGCCTTGCACTGCAATTTATTCCATATGCCTCGCTGAAAAAAAATCTGTTTTATTTCATAGTCAGTAATTTTACATTTGAAAGCTGTCTATAACGAGCACTATGAAGGAATTTGGAGGTTTTCCTAACACCTTTGTAAGCAATGTTAATTTGCAAAAACCTAAGCTTTGTGTGCTGCAAAAACCTAAATTTTGTGTGCCTTTACTATGCAGTGAATTGATGCTTTTTACATAATTTACACAGTAAAGTTATACCTTAGCTTTTTATTCTGTTGCCTGTATATGAGGTTTATCAGTGGACTTGGAGTTTTGCTCAGTCCATCAATAATAATATGGAATGTGGATTTTTAGATCATCTGTCTTTTTTTAATTTTCCAGCCAACTACTAAAAGGCTCTGACCTTTAACAGGAAGAACTCAGTGATCCAAATGCAGAGAGCAGGTTTAGAATAAGAACTGTACCATGTGTTAGTTTTTGGAATGACTGTAGCATTTGATCACAGATTTAGGTTTTACTTTCTCTGTGAACCAAGTAAAGACCATAGCCTAACTATTTTATTGTGATAAGGTATAGAACCATTTGTGGATTGATAACATAATCAAAAAGAATGTATTTTGCTTTAGTGGTGATAAGGATTTTGAGTGATTAGAGATTTGTTTTTAAAGTTATGTTTTTAAAGATTAAATATTTAAATTAATATGATGCTCTTCATCCTAAATGATACTAAAACGTTTTCCATATAGGAAGGGGACCACTTCATCCACCATTGAAGTGAAGCACTCAAATGAATGACACGTGACAGCTTTTAAGTTAAAAAAAAGTTAGAAACTGCTATAAAAGCTGATTTAAGGTGAAACTTTAGGGAGGCTAGAAATTAGTCTGGATACCAGGAATGATATCCTTACTCTTACCAATAGTACCACGGGGTTTTGAATGGCCAAATAGCTAGGACCAAGTGATGGAACTCCCTACACCACAGTGCTCCTAGTCACCAGATTCATTTTGGAAGTTTTGGTTTCCAGCGAAGAATGCTGTTGGTTCACCAAGATACACACAGAAGCAACTTGGTTCTTCCTGGAGGTCTTGCGTCTCAATATAAACCAGGCCCAGCCTTTTTTAGCTTGAAATCTGCCAATATCACGATAGAGAGTGGTAATACTGTCTGTAAAATATCAGGAACACCATTTGAATAAAGAATTACATTTATAACCTCATTTAATTGTATTCCCATTGAGTTTACTGAGAATTTCAAAAGCCAGGTAACACTATGGCATAAATGACACTGTAGATATTTTGCCAGTTTTAAATCAGGTCATGGACATCTTGAAGCATCTTTTGTACCATAGTTAGTACAGAACTTCTGAATAGAAGTTTTATAATGTTATTTCCATCTTTTACCAAATGCCTTATAGAAGACTCCTTTTTTTATAGGAGTCAAGCTATGGTCAAATGCCATGGAGATACTGGATGAAAAGGATGGGGTTGACACAGAGCTGCTTGTTTATGCCATGACATTAATTAACAAGGTGAGTGAGAGACTCAGCTGAAGTGTTTAAGAAAACATATACTGTACAGTGCCTTCCAAAAGGGACTGCAAGGTGACTACTTATTTGGCTTTACAATCAAGCAATTTGTATTACTAATCATTAGATTAATATGAGTGATAAGTATAATATATGTGTTATTTTGGGGTAATTACACCTGTAAATGTGATCGTATTAGAACAAAAACGTATTCCAACCCAGTGCTTTCAGGTATGGAGGTATTGGAATAAGTTAGCCAGTCATGGGAAGCTGATATATTGGCTTCTTTCAAGAAAAGGCTGTTTGAGATTCTTGGATCAATATGCTACAAACTACCAAAAGGGCCAGATGAGTCCAATGGCCTTCTCTCATTTGGAACCTTTCAGTTGTTCTTATTTTTAAGTGTCCTTAGGTATTTGGATACTTTCACAAAGTCTGTATTTAGTTTCATATCCCTTTGAGGCAATTACAGCTTGAAGTCTTCAAAGTATTGAGCTCATCAAACTCTTTATGCAATCATTTGAGGTGTTGTGCTGCAGCCACATTGAGTTCTTGTCTATTCTAAGAGTGTCCTGACTAAAGGTTTTTCTTCAGTAAGTAAAGGGCATGCTCAATTGGACTTGCTCAATTTGGAGATTGCCCTAGTCTCTATGATTTTATGAAAAGGCAGCACAGTCACACAGTAGTTAGCATTGCTACCTCCCAGCGCTGGGGCCCAGAGTTCAGATCCAGGCCTGGGGTGCTCTATATGTGGAACTTGCACCCGTTCTTAGCAATGATAGGTTCTGACTCCCCGGCAACTATGAATTAGATTTTATGAAAGAACAAGGATATTTCTTAAAAAAGGGAATGGTGTAGAGAGTCTCCTTTTCACAAAAAAGCAGTGCGTCAGTCAATACAAGAGAATCAGATTTGGAAATGCCAAATTTCTAATGAATTTAGTCTCTTTAAATCACAATTTCCCTTTGCAGTGAAGCTGAAGATGGTTAACAGAAAAGGCTAGTTGCTTTTTTGTTGGAAATATCTCTCATTTTTTACATGCTTCTCTTTCTCTATGTTTAATTTAAGATATGAGTGATGCAGAAAACAAATGTTTATCTCCTTTTCTGTATATATGTAACTATGATGGGATAGTTTGTTTCACTGCTAAAGCATGGCTGAAAGTAGTGCCAAAAGTAGGTTTTTGTGCCTTTAAGGGGATGTGCCGAAACTCATTTCTGTTTTGAATTTGCAGACACTAGCTGGCCTGCCAGATCAGGATTCTTTCTATGATGTGGTAGACTGTCTGGAAGAGCAAGGCATTGAAGCAATTGCACAGAGACACTTGAATAAGAAAGGCACCGACCTGGATCTCGTGGAACAATTTAATATTTATGAGGTAATTCTTGATTTCAGCAAGGGCTGCAAACGTGAATCTTCAGTGTGTTGTCTTGGCAATGCCTTAAAAGCTACTGCAGCATGTATAACAAGTTCAAACAGATTAGCCTGGCACAGTAATCTTAGCTCTCTCATCCCTGCATCGATCTCAGAAGTACTTGGTGCAGCTCAGACATACTGTAGGTACTTGATGCCTTTATTTTTACTTTTTTGGTTACTCCATGACCTGTATTGTAATGCTCTCACCTTTATAATATTTGTAAGTAACGAATCTCTTAATCTAAATCAAATCAAAATTAATTTTATTAACTTTTTGGATTAACGGAATTACTTTTTTAACTTTGTTATGAAAAAAATGCTTTTAATTTTTTTTAGCCATTTTACAGGTTCACAGGAGAAGATGAAAAGATTGACAGAAGAATCACTTGACAGAAAACAAAAGTTTAAAATTCTAAAAAAGAGATATGTAAATCAGATTGGTGGAAGAAATAATCGAATGTGATAGCTGTGTATTTTCAGTTATCTTTCAGCGTTCATTATATACACGAAATTAGTTGTGTATGTGAATTTGAAAAAATATTTAGTGCTATTAAATAAAACGATCAAGAATCTTCTGACTCTGATTCCCCTGGTGTTGACCTATTTAGCAGTAGGACCTTGGACTGTATGATGGTAATGGAGCAATTCATCTGCCACATCAATCTCTAAAAAGAATTAAGAAATGAAAGTATTTGCCTCAAGTATTTGAGAGATGAGCTGGAATACTCTCTGTCCATGAATCTAAGTAATTTACTAACAACAAGAAATAAAGTGCAAAAAAACTTGGTTATGCCTGGTTGTAACATAAGGATGTTTTAGGAGTGTTATTTTAAGCAAAACCGAAGGTATTACAATATTTGAAAGTTGTGGTTAGGTTAGCCGTTGATAAGTCTGCTCATAACTTTTTTAAATGGAAATTTTGTTCCAGATGACACTAAGGCACGAGGATGGCGACGACGATAGCCAGCCCCCTCCAACGGGACGCAAGGATCGTCGGCGAGCCAGTCTGGGAGGCACGAACGAGCGGCGGGGCCTGGAGCGCCGGAGGAGTCGGAGACATTCCATCCAAAACACTAAGGGGCCCACATCCGCCCCCGCCAGCCCTAGCAGCCCCTACAGCACCTCCTCTGGCGGCTTCACGCCCTTCAGCGGGCAGAGGATCGAGGACCTCAGTGAAAAGTGAGTAAGCGATGGCCTTCAGACTGCATGTTATTAAAGTCGCCCATCTTCACGCAAACTTGAGATAACCCCTCCTGTAATGCTTCACCTCTCCTTTACCAAAGGCACAGAGCTCGGATTTATGGCTCTTTAAATATTGTACAAAAGGATTTAAATCTAATAATCTCAGGGTGTTAGTAGTTCTGTTTTAGAAACAGAATCCTGATTGCATTTAGCTGCATGAGTGGAAACTGCATTGTACTAGTCATAACAAGTAAACCGTTTGAGCTGAACTGCAGTTTCTGTCAGTAACCTGAGAGTAGAGGAATCATCAGATTGGTTTGTTGATCCTGAGATGACTTTTATTATAAGTGATAATTCCCGTTATTTTGGATTTGTTGTGTTGATTAATGCCTGGATTGAGATTTTTTTTAAACAATTTATCACACTGTAATAGACACAATTTGGGGAATAATATAAAGCAAATCTACTCAACCTGTGGTCCCTCAATTCTACTCCATCAGACAATTTCCTGTGGCTTAATTATTAATTGAGTATTATCAGGTTAAATATACTAAATAGAATGGATTGGATTGCCTGCCAGATGAGTTGTCCTGATCTGATGTATTATACTTATATAAAACATTAGGAGCATGAATCACATGTAGAGGAAAGCAGAAAATCTACTTTAAGAAAAATTGTTTTGTCCTACCACCAATCCCCTGATATATCCAGCTGTTACCATGATCTCATGACTGTTCCTCCAAACCAGACACCTTCATCGCTCCTCACCTCCTTAATACCTTCTTCATCCATTCTTTCCCACTCTTCCTATCTGTCTTCAATGTTCACCTTCTGTAGTTGGAAACCTGAGAGCCATGTGGGCTTCCAGGGTGATGGGCGGTTTGACAATGAAAGCATGTTTGAGGCTGATTTTGCACCGTGGCCAATGTAAGTTCAAGTGTTGTGAAGTGATGTGAAGCTTGTACGCAAAGCATGGCTCTGCATTGTGCCATGGACATGCCTCTGTGTCCAGCTCTGAAACTGGGTTGACTTGACTGTAGCTCTCCACTATGTTAAAGAAGAGTCTTTAATTAATAGTGTGGTGTAAGGCAGATCTTTCAGCTGTTGTCAAAAACAATTTTCCTTAGCTAGATTTTTCCACAGTGACTGTCTTCATCTTCATGTTTTCACAACAGGATTGACCAGATTTGATCAACTGCCGCAGGGCATTTGATTTTTCATTCATCTTTATGATCATAAGATTCATCCTGTAATTCACAATTAACAATATTTATCCTTATCCATACACTCATATTGATTTATTGATACCTAGGGATACCTATAGAACATGCAATACTACAAATGCAAGACATAATATATTACACTGACAAGGTACATTCAACAGAAAATAGCAGAAAACACTTTTCCTGTTAAGTTTCATTGCTCATTATTCATTATTACTGTAAAGGTCAAGTAGCAAACCATGCTCTTATCTAGTGAGTATTCACATAAGATAAATTGATTTTTATTTTAAAAAAGGCAGCCTGGGGAAAGATTGTATTGTCTTAATCTTCTTGCACTTAAGGAGTGTTCAGAAAGCTCCACTGTCTGGTAAATTAATCGAGGTCTGCATACAGACAAATAATGGAATTTAAATTTCAATTTCTTGAGTAATAGATAATTAGGAAAGGTCTGCACATATTTAAATATAAATCTTAAAGTCTATATTCCACATGGAAGCCACTACTATAAACTGAAGCACCATTAAAAACTACTGCTATTGCTCATTTCTGAAGGAGATATGTACAGAATTACATGTATCTCTGTTCTTTATTTTGTCAACTATTTTACTTACAATTTTCATACTGCTGTTCTCCTTTACTTTTAGAATGAAGTGTTCTAACTTGGTTTTCTAAAATGTTTTTACCAGAGGTGGCTCTAAACTTGAGGAGAGATATACTATGGTGTAAGCACTAATTGTAAAAACTGTTTTGATGGAATATGCTGCATTATTAGTTCTGTGAATTTGAAAAAAATGGGTTGGTGGTAACACTCTGGCATGAAACACATTCAGTAGTAGATAAATGTTTTCCTAAGGGTGTTACATCCTTCTTGTTTTCAGTTCTCTTGCCCGCTGAAAATCCAGAAATCCTGCTAATGATGTTTTTGGAGTCATTCTCCCTTATAATGGAGTTTAATTCTTCTGTTAAGAATTTGTGGTAGTCTTTCCGCAGTTAGGCACTCAGCCAGCCTGGAACAGGCTAATAAGCTGGGAAGTGGAGACATTATTAAATGCACAGAATTTCTAAGCAGGAAACAGTGTTGTCTGTGGTATTTTATCAACTTTGAAGAGGAACAAAAATTTTGTTACTAAATCTAAGCAGTAGGCAATGCAGCTGTCTGGTTGTTATAAAGACGTCACCTGACATAACCTGCTATGATATATCTTAAAAGTATGATGCAGACTTTATGAAGGGTTGTCATATTATTTACCATGGTATTTTACCATTGACGTAGCTTAGCATACATTACTTTTACTATGGTTTCCAGAGGGTTTAACATGTCTTTACATTGCCATACTGGAAAGTGAGTCAACCGTGATTTAACAGTTAAACATTCCATTTAACCACCTATTATAATATATCATAATAGTCAATGCAAAGTGAAGTAAAACATAGTGAAGGAATGAAAGGAAACAGGAAACCATAACAAAAGTTTTTGTAAATTGAAATGCCACAGTTTCCCTTTTGTGAAAGTGGTTGTAGACTTTCAGAAATGCCTTAAGTTTGAGTTTATTTTTGTGGAAGAGGGGGGATACAGGAGTAGCTTCAGGAGATGAGTCGCTGTGTATTTATGTGCACAGCTGAATAGAGGAGAGACAGCAGCAGGTGAAAATAGGGGAATACAGTTTCTGGTCTTCACTGCAGAGAGCAGAGGCTGTAACAGGACAGTTAGAATTGCCACAGGAGAGGGACACTCCATGTTTTTACTCATGTGGTTGTCTGATTCTGGATGTGTTAACAAAAGATTGAGCCTCTCAGGATGTCAAATGGTAAGCTAACAGGTTCCTGTAAGCAATAATGGTATTTGAGGTTACATTTCGTAATGTTAAAACGTGCAGTATGCTCTACTCATAACAATTCTAAAAATGTAACTTAAGTAAAGCATGTTCAGAGCATTTTTGGGAAATCTGCATTTATCAGAACTGTTTTACATCATGTCCTTTTAGGTAAAATCTAAAATTGTTGCTTTCATTTTTTGCAAATTAATTTTATCCTTAAATTGCCATGCCATAATTTAATAAGATGCGGAGACTAACTTTCTTAACAAGGGGATCAATATCAGCTTACAATTTCACAACAAAATGATACATTAATTTACATTTTTCAGAACTTATCAGAATTTAGTTATTACTTAAAATGACTTGTTTAAAGGTACAGCAATGACCCTTCTTGGATTTGAACATTCTATACAACAATCCGGGGCAGAGTGTAATTCAGTACTCCACACTTCTGCCCTATAATAATTGTCCTTTAAATATGGATAATCACATCTCCTAATAAGTATATAATAATATTTCAATTTGCCTGTAAACAAGTTACATCAGTACTGTATAAAGTGTTGGTCTGGTTAGTTAAATAACTTTCACTCTTCTATTGTTAATGGTCTAATTAATGGTCTAATCAGAGAAAGAGATAAAGGAAATACCTGTTCATTTAGATTAATAATTTCAATGGAGTGATTTTGCATTCATGTTTAGGAATTTCTTTTAACCTGTTTTAAACAGTGGAAGAAAAACAATTGTGTAAGTTAATTTTATGAAACACCTAGTGCATTTTATCCAACTTGATAGTTAGTAGAAATAATTAAACAGATACAAGGTTCCTCTTTGCCATGACTTAATATGATATTGATCATTGATACACCTGGACAATATTGAATTGTAATTGTAAGTTTGAATGTAAGTTTCTTTACCTTCCTTGACTATCAGTGGACTGGAACTTTGGCAAGAATATCTAGCATGAAGCAGTAAATATCCAAATGTCCTACTCATTGAATGACTTGGTAATCATTTGAATTTGTGATCTTACAAATTATACTCTTAACTAGAAAACAAAATAGTTTAGAAAGCTGCCAAGCAAGTTCCTGCACATTTACTTTAATAGTGTGAGCAAACGGTGAATAAGCTAAGGCGAAAGTAGAACGATACCAAATTTAAAACTCATTGGCTGTTAATTTTTTTAAAAGTGATGTATTTGACAAGATAACAAAATTGTGATGAGAAAGCCAACCTGTGTTAAACAGGTACCCTGTTTTGCTGTATTGGAATCACTAAAATAATACCTACCAAGTTTAGAGATAACTGACCAAACAGGATTTGTAGAAGAGCAGATAGTGTTACAAGGTTAATTTTCAGAGCATGTGAATATGTTTACCTAAAACATCATTAGATATTAATGTAGGTTGTCATAAAACATGTAGATAACCTGATTAAATGTATAACACAAAGACTAGAGACACATTTGTTTAATGAAAATTGGTTAATTTAATTAAATGATCCAACAATAAATATCCTTGTGTGAATAAGCAGATGAACTCTTTTGTGAGAGGAATTGGTGGCATCTCCTACAGCAGCAACGGTATCAGCTAGACATTTCCTGTTACCGTCTTTTATTAATTTTGGCCTATTTACCCTCACAGAACTGTTAAGTTGGTGACATGCAGTATGAAAGTTTCATTGCATGAACAGCTTGCTTCAGATTTTGATTATTCTGTCCAAAGAATGTTCTTATGGTGGTCTTGTGGATTGCCCGGTGTTTTTTTGATATATGTGAGACTTAGTTGGCACTACATAGTACTGTATCTGTACATTTGGTGAAAACTAAACATTACCTTCCAACAGAAGAACCTCATCTTGACAGTCCAGCATAGTGGTGGGAGTAACATGGTTTGGAGATGCTTTGCTGTGTTTGGGCCCAGACAGCTTGCCATCATTTACTGAGCCATTAATTTAGTGTTGTAGAAGCAAAATATGGAGGAAAATATCAGGGTATCCATGTAATCTTCTTAAGCTAAGCAAAATTAGGTCATGCAGCAAGACAGTGATCCTAACCATATAAGCAGATCTACAACAACATAGCAGAAATTTCACATTTTGGATTGTCCTAGTTAAAGTCCTGAGCCAAACCCTTTTGAAATGTTATGGCTGGACCTGACGTTAGCTGTTCATGCAAAGAAATGCACCAGAAATCCCACAACATGGCAGATCAGGTGGAGATGTAATACATTTGCTCACCAGTCAGTGGGAAATTTAGGACCTGGATTTTTGGGGAATTTAGTCAAGCCACTAGGTTTAACCCTGAGGTTATCACCCCAGATTCTGTTTTAAAAAATATTCTAAGACTTCATAGGTAAAAGTACTAAACAGACAAGTCGAAACGCATCTTCTTTCAGCAAGAGCAACGTGTTTTGTTCCATAACTTTGTTTGCTTTTTTGAGACTGGTAGCCTATTTAAATATTAGAAGTGATTGTTATCAGTATAATATTTTTTATGCTAAACATATGTTGAAAACAAAACATATTAGTTGATTTATACACAGTTTGTGATGTGTTTTCAAAATAAAATGTGTATTTTATATGGTGTATGTTTATATTACAATTGAAATTCAATTATTAACTATTTTTTTGTTCAGCTGGGATGTGCTCATCGGAATGTCTGTTGCTCACATGGTATGCTTCTCATTAATTATTATTGGGTGATATAAGCCCTATGTTGAGCCAAGTCTGTATGTCCTGAAAAAGTATTTTTGTGCCAAAATGTTGACAATATAATAATGTATAATGAAGCTGAGTATGTGATCTGTGTTTTTAATTGATTTTAGTCAATTTCCATTGGACAGTACTTCATTAACATTGGATGTGTGCTTTTCCTTTTTGAAGTTTCTTC